TTTTTTTCAACATACTAAATAAATCTATCTGAAGAGCCAAAGCTTGCCTTTAGGAAATATGGTTGAATTAGTAAAAGATAAAAGGGAAACATCAGAAAACCTGAACAAGTACTATAGAGTTGGAATGAAAATGGATGAAATTACAAACGATTGTTCAGTCAACGGTCAATAATAAATACCTACTAGTCTGCCACTGAATAAAGTGAAACAGAAGGTAAACACACAGTGAAAGGATGAGAACTAAAGCGTGGCGTCCATATAAATGCATCCTGATGACAAACCAAAATGCTATTTCCATCAGGGGGAAAAAAAAAATCACACCAATTAAAATATATTTTGAAATATCATTTCAGGGGAAAAAAAGGAAGAAGATAGACTGAGAAGAAATCACTCTAACAGTTGTCAAATTATGTAGTTTGACACCGAGAATTCCCACATTTTACTAAATTTAGCTTTGATGTCTTACACATTTTCAGAAATAGAGACCCGTTATCACACTTAATGTTTCAGAATGTGTTAATGCTAAATTTCTCCATTTGATGGTGTCCTTTCATGTAAGAAAGAAGAAGGAATGAATGTGACAGGGAAAATGGGCAGCAGCGTTCACTTAATATCGTGTATAAAGTCGCAGTGCCATGCTGTGTGTCTAGCACAGGAAAATTGATTTTTGAGTGACATTTCATGGGTATACAGTACTCTGGCTTCAAGCATTTCATGGGTATTCAATGTCTATTGTGCTTAGATTTCCTTATCCCAAGGAACATTCCCCCAAATTAAACCACACAGATTTATGAATGCCACCAACGGAAAAGAGCAGCAGCTTCTAACTTAGTGACAAGAAAGATATGCTGCCCAGTAGCAAGTAGAAAGCATAGGATTTCCCTCCTTGTGTCTACTGCTGAAGAAGAGAAAGATAAGAGTGGTTTTTTTTTTTCACTCAATCTCAATTTTTCCAGAGAAGAAAGGTCTCTGAGTGGCCTGCCTAAATGAAATAAGTGACAATCCAGGTTTTATTTAGAATTCTGTCTGGAAAAGGTTGGCTGGTTTGGAATCCCACAGGAACCCAGAAACCTAACAAGATGTTCAACAGATTAGCAACTGTGTATCACTAGTGATCAACATAATTTTATTTAGCTACGTTATTTAACAAATGCTATGTGCCAGGCACTATACTAAATTACAAATACTAAACTCCTTTGATTAATGGTCATAACATCTCTCTTACAGGAGAACCACTATGTCCATTTCTCCAATGAGAAAACTGAGAAACAGGACAGTAAATAATTTGCCCATGATCACACGACTAATAAAAGAAATCCTGTCTTAAAACTCAGCAACAGTCAACCTTCTAGAATGATGCTCTTCCTTTTCTGGGCCGTCAGACAAAAATAGTAGTCTTCAATGAAAAGTTGTTTGGAAAGCAAAACTGAAAATATATAAACTGATAATGGAAATCGAATTTATTAAGAATCCTCTGTGTTGGATACTGTAGTAAGTGTTAATAAAATTTTTTAAGCTTGTTATTTAATCTTTATTCTAAACAATACCATTAGAAAAGCATTGTTCCTACTTAAATGGTGAAACTGAGTTTTGCATACATGATGAATAACTTTCCTGCTGTTCAATGACTAATGAAAAGAAGGATTCAAAACTGGCCCATCCAAACGCAGAACCTATCTACTGCCTTCCTACTTGGGAGACATCTCCTTTAGAGGGAGATGACTAAGGATGATGATTCAACCTGGATGTTTTTCTTTTTCCTCCTCTTTAAAATAATAAGCCATCAACAGCTATTCATTAAATTGATTAAGACATCAGATTTAAACAGATGAATGAAGAGTTTAGTTTATCTACGAGGAGAATCCCCTGACACGAAAAGCTCCTCAAAAAAATTGATAGCCCCAGCATCTAGCAGAGTATATCCAATCATTAATTGTGATAATGATATTTTTTTTTTTCTTTCAAAAGTTTATTTAGTATCAAGCAAGAGGAGACTTTGCTTAACACCACAGAACATTTCAAGACTTGAGTCACAAAAGAATACCACATTATTTGCACTTGTAATTGGCTTCCCTTTTAACGCATGTTGGCAAGAGGAAAAAAAAATAGCATATGATTTTATACAGACTAAAGAGAGTGGAGGCAGGAGGAGAAGGGGACAACAGAGGACAAGATGGTTGGATGGCATCACTGACTCAATGGACATGTTTGAGCAAGCTCCAGGAGTGGGTGAAGGACAGGGAAGCCTGGCATGATGCATCCATGGGGTAGCAGAGTTGGACATGACTGACCGACTGAACAACAGCAAAAGAGAGTGGAAAGAATCACTTCCTCTAAAAAATTTTAAATTGGGGGTAATGTCACCTATTTGGCAAAGCTCAAATAGGGTCATATGAAGAGATGGGCTGGAGGGTGAATCTCAAGAGGGAATCACAAAGATGATCTCCTATGAGACGTGTGGTTTTAATATAATTTACCAAGAATTTTTTTTTTCACAATCTCCATATATGCCATCAGACAACATCGACATTTTCAAGTCATAATTTTCAACTTTGTTTACTATCATCAAAATATAAATCAGCAAAATGGAATCACAAGTGAACTGGAACTATCAATAATTTATATCATAACCCAATCTTTCCTGCAGATTAAGTTATTTACCTTTCTTATTTTATAATTTTACAAATAACTTACCTTACTATTTCATACTTTTAGTAGCAAATAATTCTTTTGTTGTGTTGTTCAGTCACTAAATCACGTCCGACTCTTTGTGACCCTATGGACTATGGCCCACCAGGCTCCTCTGTCCATAAGATTTTCCGGCAAGAATACTGTAATGAGTTGCCATGTCCTCCTGCAGGGGATCTTCCCAACCCAGGGATCAAACTTGCATCTGCTGCATTGGCAGGCAAACTCTTTACCACTAAGGCAACAAGGGAGCCCCATTCATGAGAAGTAATTGAGTTTAAATTTAAGTCACCAACCTTCTGCCCTGCAACCACAAAAGTTTGTATAAGCCCTGCTCGCCAACCTGCTACCCTCCCTCACTCAAAACCCCTCTTGTTCAGGGTAAAGAATTTTTGTCCTCTTACAGATCTTCAAACATGAAAAAAAAAAAAAAAAAAGAAAAAAGGCTGTCCCAAAGTCTTTCAATTCACTGAGATTCCTCTTCATACCTCTGAAACAGCAATGTGAACCCAAAAGGACTTAATTCTAAGCATATCCTTAGATGACAGATGCACACATATCTGAGCATTACTATAATATGCTTGCAATGAGAAAACTAAGAATTTTCAGATGAGGTAGCAGGCAAAAACCCCACACAGAGGGTCAGAACATATACTGCCACCCCTTCAGTGCCGACAGTTGTTTTTATTTCATTCAACTTAATTACTAGCATCAATAAACACAAGAAAAAAAATGCATTCAAGTAAGTGGTTAAGAACTTCACATCCTATCAATTAACATTTGCTGAAAAATGAATCAAGGACCTGTTTTGTGAAACATGTGCTTAACCAATAGTTTTATACTTGACCTTTAAGCCAGGTTCCAGTTCAACTTACTAGAGTGATACATAGCATGCATAACATTCTCTTTTCTGAGAAAGGTTTTTCATTGGTTTAAGGGAAGGACTCAGGCACTATTAAGCTTGTAAGACTAGAATTTGCATTCTCCTTTCACATGCAAAAAACAGAAACAAACACTGCGTGAAGGTGAATGACTCATCCACAGTCACACTGTTGGTAAATTTGATTGTGAAAATAACCTACAAATATTTAGGACTACTTATTTAATTCAATAATCATTCCCCAACCTACCCCTCTTGCCTCTTTAAGTAGTTGTGAGTCATTCTATAAACAATAGGCAGATTTGTGCCACTGGAGAAGTATATTAGAAATTAAATTTAAATCACTTTATAGAATGTGCTCAATGTTTCCATCTCTGCCAGAATGCTTTGAGGCTGGCAGGAAAAATGGAATGACTGACTGCCTTTTCACAGAGGAGGACCCCAGGGTAGGCAGCATTACCCCAGAGTGACTTACTTGAGACTAACTACATAAAGAGACCATATAAAGAGCTATTTAAACCTGCATGTTTCCTTCTAGATTCTAGAATCTAGAAGCTTCTCCCTTTCTCGTATCTACACTGCTTTACCACATTGTCTAGGGGAAGACAAAAAGTCAGCAGTATCTGGCCTTCTGATTGTCTGTAGTAGTTTGTGTGCACTATGTAATTCTATCGTATTCCTTCTTGTGTCTTGTGCACATCTCCCACAATCTCACTGTAGGTTCTTTGAGAGCATGGATCATATATTCAACCTCTATGGAATTTCCCAATTCCTAGCACAGAGCCAAGGTCCTCTAAGTTTTTAAAAATACCTCTTCATTCACTAACTAGATGCAAAAGTTTTGAGAGACCTGTCCCTGGAGGAAGTGAGAATTAGATAAGAATTAGATGTCACAGGCAAATCAGGCTTTATTTATTACTCAATTCTGTGTTTTTCAATACTGTAGAAATTCACTACAATTTTCTCATTTTCCTATTTTCAAAAAAAATACTGTAACAATTACTTTTATGAAAATATGCAGTATTTTCAATGAAGCAGATATTATCAAACAATATTTGTGAGAAATGTAAATTTCCTGGATAGAATTTATTGATATACAAATATATTATTTTAAATTGCAATTCCAAAAATTCTAATTGTTGAACTGTTACCTAAGAAATAACCAGAGGTGTACAAATGCATCCCAAAACTTTAACCTTTAAGCATATAAAATTAGGAGACAAAACATAAAATACTAGCTAAAACCCAAGTTTCTTGCTAAATTCAGTGACTTTTAGGACAGTGGTTGATTCAGATAAGCCGATTCCTTGTTCTCTAGGTAACTTTTGAATAACTGAAAACCATTTCTATAAATTTATTATTTTCATCTTAAGAACAACAATTTCTCCTCCATGCCTACAAATTAAGTTTAGCTGGTGAATGAATCACATACCTTTATGACATGATGCTTCTCCTGGAGCACAGGAATCTTAAACATTTGGCACCAGTATGTTGTACCTTTGTTTGGAATGGGAACCTGTCTTAAAAAATAAATAAATAAAAAGGAGAAGGGGACAAAAGTCATATTGTCTTGACATTCTATTAAAAACAATAATTTAAGTTAAAAAAAAACACAAAAACGATTATATGGTTTCAATAAACCCATCCCTAGAGTCATAAAAACCTGAAAACAAAACAAAATAACTTACGTCTTGATTGACCAGATCAAAGTATGGCACGGCTGTAGACAACACATTGGTTTTTTCAGGATTCAATAACCGCAGACTCTTGGTACCACGATTGGATTCATGGTACTTGGGACCTGCTTCTCCCACATCTTCATGGTGGTAGGCCCAGATCACCCTTACGGTGCTCTCCTGGTGAACAGAAATGGGGAGGGTTATGTCTCATGACAGCACTTTCCTTACTACTGAATTGAGTTTAATGAATGCTACTTAAAGCAGGATACAGAAGCAAAGACAAGAGAATGACATTCAGAGTCTCAATATGGTCTCTCACATAATTGTTTGATTAAGCCTTAAAAATCCAAATAGATGAGTTCCTTTTTGAAAGAAATCATCTCTCCCATGCAAGATAATATGTTCCAAAACATTGGGTTGGTCAAAAAGTTTGTTTGGGTTTAGAGTAAGATGTTAACAGAAAAACCCAGGTGAACTTTGTGGCCAACCCAATAGAATGAAGGACAAGTGACTTATTAGTAATCCTTTCAGCAATAATCCTTTCAGTAATCTATCAGCAATAGCAAATCATTGTCATGCAAAAACTCCAAACTACTGAAAACAAACTAGTAGTTACCAGGCCAATACTCTCGTTAAGTAGCAGGAGTTTAGGATAATTAAAACCTGTTTCAATGCTATGGAACATTTTAAAGAAAACAAATAAATATAATGAAAGTTCAAATGACTTCCCAGGTCAGAATTTTAATTTTCACAAGAGATTTTTCCTAGACTCTAGCCCAGTCACATGTATGAATTTAGAGAAAGTGGAAATGCAAGAGGAACTTCTGATTCTGGGTTGTTTATTATCGTAGAATCTAGCTGTAATCATTTAATGAACTCTGGGAATGTTCAAGGGGCTGGGGCATTCCAACTAGGGAAAGTACTGTCAGGCGAAACTGGTTGCCAAAAGGGCGGTGGGGCAATGGGGAGGGTGTGCTGGGATATAAAAAAATAGTTCAGTGCCCCCACACAAAACGATGCCTTTGTCAGATCTTTATAATAAGAACATTGAAAATAAATAACAAAACAAAAGTTATTCATTTAAAAAGTTACATTATTTCTTAATAAGTCAAATGACTATAATTATTATTATAATTAAAGTATAAGAGCACTGTATATTACATAAAAGTGGTCCATGTCTTTGTACACATTCTTCTCCCTCTTTTACTCTTTATGCAGAATGTTAATCAAAACTGCCTCAGATTTTTACATTTCCATTTTTAAAGCTTTGAATGACAAAAAAAAAAAAGGTAATTTTGTTGGCCTATACAAAATGAAATTGGTTTAAGAAATTCATGGAAAGTTTCAAAGTACCACATGAATTATAGATCCTCTAAATATTTAATTTGCATATGCACAAAGATGTTAATTTTTGCACGATGCCTGACAATAACAAATCTTGTATAACATGTTGACAGGCAATTTTCATCAGTCTACTATTCATCTTGACTTTAGAAATTTACAAAAGTGAATCAGTAACAATTCAGATGAATTATAGCCTAGTATTCAGTATCATAATTCTCTCTTATGTAATATGATTTCTTCCAACCTTTATCAATTGCTTATTTTCAAACTGTATAAAGAAGCTATAATCTTTTATAGATAAAATCACACATACTTTAGGCAGCTCTTCAAAATTTTAGATTCACACAAAAACTGCCTTTATTGAAGTTTATAGTCATAGGTGGTTTTCCCCCCCCTTGTGGCTTCTAAGAATTCAAAAATATTCCCAAAAGACTATGTGACTTTGTTGCTAAGGGTTATTTTTAAATATTTTTCTTTTTTATTCTGCAAAGTATTTCCCAATTGTAAATGTACAATCTGTTCATGCATGCATTTACTGATAGACTTCTTACCGTTATACTCTTGTCATTTATGTCACAGGTATGCAGTTCTCTGGCAAATTCAATTACTGTGTGTGTACTATTTTCCATGGCATATTCTAGGTGGTAATCTTGCTGAGCATCTTTTCTCAATTCTCTGTTTGCATTTGTAAAATAATCCTGTGGAAAATATGAAAAAGGAAAATCCAGCTGTTCTAAATTCAGAGTGAAAGAATTTAGATTAAGAGTATATACATGTAACATTGAAAAATAATTCTGGTTTGCTTATTACAAAATCCTGTATTTACAGTCATCTTTTTAAGTCCTGGGAATTTCCAAGGGGCTGGAGTGTTCTCCCTAGGGACAGTTCCCTAGGAAACTAATCCATATTTGAACTTCTGGCCCTTCAGGAAAAGGCAGTGTGGATTTATAATAGAGAGTATTGAAAGAGATGGAATGAGTAATCACCGAGTACTTTTTCCTCCTTCCACAGATGAAAAGAACTTCAACACAGGGAAATGACTTGTTCCAAAGTGAAATGACTAACTAGTTCACAGCAAAACCAGGACCAAGCCCAGTGTCAGCACTTTTTCCACTATTACACCTTATGGTGCTTACCTTCTGCACTTCTAAAAGCAAGGAGATTCATGTTAAGGTTATCGGTTTTTTTTTTTTTTAGTATGAGCTTTAATGGCATACATTTATTAAAATGAAATGCAGTGAGAAAATATGGAAAGAAATGACTCTAGTTGAATTACAAGACGCTGAAAAACTAGGGATGTTTTGTTTTGGTGGTTCAGCTATAATTCTCATACTAAACTAGTTCAGTGGTGTAAGATCGCTTCTTAGAAGAACACAGATGCAATGGAAAGGGCATAAGCTTTGAATCAAATAACTAGGATCTAACCTCCCAGTTCTACTCCAAAAATGTCGACGAATTATTGAAATCAAACTCTGAACTTTTGTTTTAACATTAATAAAATCGAGATAGGGACTTCCTTGATGGTCCAGTGGTTAAGACTTCACCTTCCAGGGCAAAGGGGTATGGGCTCGACCCCTGGTGGAGGAGCTGAGACCCCGCGTGTCTCGTGACCAAATAAAAACAAAACATAAACCAGAAGCAATATTGTAACAAATTCAACAAAGACTTTAAAAATGGTCCACATCTAATAAAATATTTAAAAAAGGAAATAAAACAAAACTGAGATAATACATACTTATTGTATGAATTCTGAAAGATAAATACATGAAATAGTATATAAGGGAAAAAACTGCCAACCATAGTTAGAGCTCACTCAATGCCAATCTTCTTCCCTCTTTTGCAATTAGAGTAGTTTTTCCCCAAAATATTCTCTGGGCTTTTTACAAATAGCTTTCTATGTTGAGAGTTATAAAAATGATGTTGTTCATTTTTATTACTTATAGAAGACATAATATTTGCCATAATTATACTGGTTTTTCAGCATATAATGGTATTTATCTCTGATAAGTCACAAAGGATTGATTTAGAATATACATGCTGAAATAAAATTATAATCAGTTTTACTAACACTAAAATTACATTTGAAGAAATGATTGCATGCTTGACAGAGAAAATACAGTTGTACAAGAGAAAAACTTTAAGTTGTCTGTAATTGTCATACCCTAGGATACAGATAATAGTATTATAACAATGTTAAATGACCTAACATCAATTATCATGGTTATGTAAGAGAATGTCCTTGTTCTTGGTAATTATACACTTAAACATTTAAGAGTGAAAAAAAAAAAAAAAAGAACAAGAAATGGTCATTCTCAAATGGATGGCATTTGGTGTTTTTATTTCTAGCACTTATCTAAGGTAGCTATCTAGTGTACGTACATTCTAGTGTACGACATTCAGGGTACCACATCTTGACATGGTTCAAATCTCATTATTGGTGATGCATAGAACCTAACTAACTTCACTCTGGTAACAATTACAACACATTGAGTACATTCTATGCACCAGTTTAAGCATATTACATGTATTAGCTCATTTAATCTTCCTATCAAGGCTATGAGACAAAATGATTTTCCTATTTCACTGAAGCACAAAGAAGTTAGCATCTAGGCCAGAATCATACAGCTGGTAAGTGGTAAAGCTAGTATTGAAACTCAGGCAGTCTGATCTGAGCCTCCTTCTTCACTGTTCTACACCATAGTGGCCACTGCTGGAAAAGGATGGGTTAGTTTACATCCTTCTGTCTACAGAACTATATACATCAAGTATTTTTTCATATAAAATGTTACTTTAAAAAAAATGTTACTTTTTCTACTGCTAAAGTCAGGGTCTATCCAAAAATGTATTCTGAAAACCAGCTGTAATTGTGAAAGCAATTCAAATGAAATATTCCAATGATAACTGTGCTTTTCCCACTTTTGATCACATAGATTTTCAGTATATAAATGAAATAACAATGCCTGTGGACGAGGGATTTAGATGAACTAACTCTGTCTTTACACCAAGCTCACATTACATTACATGATTCAAGCAATCAAGGTTTTTGCAAACAAACAGAATACAATACAAAATGCAATCAGTTCAAAGAGTAGAATAATTATCCGAGTTTTGCAAATATGTTTCCAAAGCCTTAGCCCCACAAAATATCCAGCTGGCTTGCCAATTTTCCATTTGTTTTATTTCCACTCACCAAAACCAACTGTTTTCAGTTATTCCACCTTCTTCTGGCTTTTCAGATAACTTAACTATGAGAAAGATCTGTGAAAAGAAGAGAAGCGAAAAGCGAAGAAGAACTAACTATGATGAAAGGGGAGAAAGTTCACTCAGATCTCACTGAAAGTCCCTCGAGCTCATCTGCATTTTGGGAAACACTGAGGGTTCAATATTCAGAAAAGACGGCTGTCAACAATGTCAAAGTTCTGCACTTCTGGAAAAGTGTGCTTGTCCAAAAGAAGTTGGTGTCTTCAACCTCACCAAGGGGAAACATAAATGGGTTTGAATAAAACTAAGGTTGAAATGTTCAGTTCATTCAGTTCAGTCAGTTCAGTCGTTCAGTCGTGTCCGACTCTCTGTGACCCCATGGACTGCAGCACGCCAGGCCTCCCTGTCCATCACCAACTCCCAGAGCTTACTAAAATTCATGTCCATCGCGTTAGTGATGCCATCAAACCATCTCATCCTCTGGTGTCCCCTTCTCGTTCTGCCTTCAATCTTTCCCAGCATCAGGGTCTTTTCCAATGAGTCGGTTCTTCACATCAGGTGGCTAATGTATTGGAGTTTCAGCTTCAGCATCAGTCCTACCAATGAATATTCAGGACTGATTTCCTTTAGGACTGATTGGTTGGATTTCCTTGCAGTCCAAGGGACTCTCAAGAGCCTTCTCCAACACCACAGTTCAAAAGCATCAATTCTTCGGCGCTCAGCTTTCTTTATACAAGGTTGAAATGTGAAATATCCTAATCACCACTGTAATTCCATTACAATTTTTTTTCCCATTTTTCAACTTTTTGGGTCTCTTTGGAGACATATCTTCAGATTTGGTCACAGTACACCTTAACTACCCAAATAGTGTTATCAGGACATATTTACTTAGCTGGGTCCTTACTAATGCTTGAAAATCCACAAGCTAATCTCTTACTATTCCTGGGAGATTTCCTAGAACAAATATTCTAAACTCTCTCTATATAAGATGCCAACATTTTCCCACCCTCAGCTTTTGATCAGACTTTTCCCTTCACTGAGAGAATTTCAATAATGATATACATGTGAGCTCACATCTTGCCTTATGTCTATTCTAAATATTATATCACTTAATGGCATCATAAAAATCAATCCCAAAGCAGGAAAACAGAAATAAAAAACAAAGAGGAGATGGGACAAACAGAAAGCAAAAAGTAACTGAAATGAAAGAGAAATATTATGATAGATCCTACAGACATTAAAAGGTTAATAATTTTATAGATATCTTGATGGAAAAAACTTCAATAATTTAGGTAAGAAACAGACAAATTCAATAAAAGATACTCTTAATGACCAGAAACTATAAAACTCTTAGAGGAAAACAGAGGCAGAACACACTATGACATAAATCACAGCAAGATCCTCTGTGATCCACCTCCTAGAATAATGGAAATAAAAACAAAAATAAACAAGTGGGAACTCATTAAACTTAAATGCTTTTGCACAGCAAAGGAAACTACACAGGGTGAAAAGACAACCCTCAGAAGGGGAGGAAATAATAGCAAATGCAACATCTGACAAAGGATTAATTCCCAAAATATACAAACAGCTCCTGCAACTCAATACCAGGGAAACAAACAACACAATCACAAAGGGGGCAGAAGACCTAAACAGATATTTCACCAAAGACGATGGCTAATCAACATGAAAAGATGCTCAGTGTTGCTCATTATTAGAGCAACACAAATGAAAACTACAATGAGGTATCAGCTCACACAGTCAGAATGGCTATCATCAAAAATCTACAAACAATAAATGCTGGAGAGGGTGGAGGAAAGGGAATTCTTTTGCCCTATTGGTGGGAATGTAAATTGATATAACCACTACAGAGGACAATATGGAGATTCTTTAAAAAACTAGGAAAAGACTACCGTATGGCCCAAGAACCTTACTAGCCAGTATACCCTGAGAAAACAATAACGAAAGAGACACGTGTACCCCAGTGTTCACTGCAGCACTATTTACAATACCCAGGACATGGAAGCAACCTAGATGTCCACTGACAGATGAATGGATAAAGAAGCTGTGGTGCCTACAGAGAATGCAACATTACTCAGCCATAAAAAGAAAAACATTTGAGTCAGTTCTAATGAGGTGGATGAACCTAGAGCTTATTACACAGAGTGAAGTAAATCAGAAAGAGAAAAACAAATATCATATACTAAGGCATACATATGGAATCTAGACAGATGGTACTGATGAACCTATTTGTAGGGCGGCAATGAAGACACAGAGAACAGACTTATGGGGAAGAACAGGGTGGGATGATGAAGAGAGCAGCATGGAAACATATGCACTGCCTTATGTAAAACCAACAGCCAGTGGACATTTGCTGTGACTCAGGGAGCTCAAACCAAGTCCCTGTTACAACCTAGAGGGGTGGGATGGGGTGGGAGGTGGGAGGGAGGGGACATATGCATACTTATGGCTGATTCATGTTGATGTATGGCAGAAACCA